AAAATTAAGAGGTTTAGACATCACCCAAGTTAAGTAAGTTCTGGCAGCCCATAGAACAGCTTGCGGGAAAGTTATGAAATTTGGTACACATATAGAGGACAGTCTCAACATTAACCATAGCAAGTTTGGAGTCTCTAACTCAAACCCTGTTGCGCCACCAACCAAACTGATAAACAAACACACAACATGTAAATAACATCATTTGTTAATTTTTATATTATTATTCTTTATTTTAATAAGAAACATAGGGTCCAACAAACGTGCCTGGAAGTTTCTGGTGGTCCTAAAGGCCTTGATTAGCTGCTTCAGGTGTTTTCAGTCAGTTTGGAGCTAAACTCAGGAAAGTGGCTCAGCAGGAGCAGGATTAAACAGCCCTGTTCCTAATGCAGTTTTACAGATGATTGCAGATACACGTATTGTCCACAAGGTGGTGCTGTGTGCTGACAAACTGATCTGATCTCATGCATGTGTCTGTTCTATTAATTATTAAAAATGTCAAAACATTTCGATGTTTAGTCATAATATCTGTCCTGTTTTTCAAATAACCAGTCAATCTTTGCTATAAATGCATGAGTGATCAATCACTCTGACCAGCCAGTTTGTTCTGTGTAGATCAGTCAGGCTCACTTTACACACTGTTGTCCCACACATCCGGGTAGTGAATATATTTGCCTGCTCACTGTCGCCCTCCTCCATCCATAACCTCCTCCTCACCATCCAGAGCTTCAGATAGAGACTCAGAGCAAGATGAGGATTGGGAAGCGCTTGTTATTCAGATGCTCCTCAAGGGGGAGCTGGAGAATCCATTCCAATTCCCCTTGTTTTGAATTTTTTTTTTTTTTGAGAGCTTTGTTTTTTATTTGACCGAAAACTAAAGCAATTGTAGGGATTGAACCCAGACTTTCATACTTGACGGCAAATGCTTATCCTCTGCTCCACGGAGTTTGTGATGAAGCCAGATTTGTTTTAGATAGTTTAAGATAGGGAAATAATTACTGCAACTGTGAGATATGAACAGGTCTCTGTATACTGAGCTTGAAGGGCTCATTTTTGTTAAATGGAAACATTAACAAATGTGGCATTTGATCCAAGACTTAAATGCAAAAAAAGTCTGAAAAGCAAAAATGTAGCCTCTGAACCACGTAGTATTTGATAATGAGGTATTTCAATAATATGAGCTTTGACTTTTATTGTTTTTCAAGCTTTGCAAGTTTTAAGAACATAAATCAATTCATTTCTAGCAGAATGATTATGTACAGGACTTTTTGGATTTATTGACATTGGATTCAAACCTGTCTACATGAGCCAATTGATGTGTATAGGTTGCAGCTCGAGCACACAATGTGGTTTGGACAGCAGGACTGCGAGGGAGTGCGCTTGGGTTGGTTGGAGGAGGACCGATTTTTGGAGGTTAGAGGCAGTGCCGAAGCAGGTGTTTTGATGGCACTTCGGTCTCCGAGGCGGTCCAGGGATCTTCTCAACTCTTGCTGTGCACCTTGTACCCCAGCCAGCTTCCGCTGATACTGCACATCTAGCGCATGTAGGGTCCGTACAAGCTGCAGGCTCTAGCGCCGCTGTGCATTAGCCAGGGAACGCTCTTGAGATTGACATGAAATAACAACAAAAATGTTTTAATAAACTAGCCCTTATTGGACATTACTTTAAGCATTTGACCTACAACACAATGCACTTGTCAGAAATTGAAAATAGTACAGTAATGTATTAATTAGTATATTCATTTTATTGATACCTCATTCATTGTGTCTTTTCCTTCTTGACAGAGCGATGAAATTGGACATGCCACGCTCGTCTGGAAGAGATGAAGATATGCAGGATCCAGTGACAATTCCTGAAAAGTTGAGAGCTCATATCATGTTTACCTTTCATATAAAGTGAACAGTGTAGCACTAAATTCACAGCTTTTTGGGGGGGAAAATATGCATATACTACATTTATATATTTTTAGGTTTACATATACAAATCACAAATATATCAGACACTTATACGTAAGTTTTGGAAAATTAAGAAACTGATAAATACATTAATGTATTTACTCACCCATGGATGTTGCAACAAGCATTTACTGTCTAGTAGTATCCAAATATAATATCCCACCAAGATTATTTTTGTGAATACACACACTTTTCTTCTCTTTTTCAATCGAAAGATGGGGGGTAAAAGGCTTCTGAAAGTGAGAAAGTCTGTTTGGTAACCTAACTTATATAAAGTGACAGCATCTCTTCTGAAGGATCGAAACAAAGGATTTGGAGGGGCCAAGTAAGAAAGGAGTGGGCAGAACTAGTGAGAGAAAGGCAACTCCTCTTAAAATTTACAAAAGAACACAGAAAATACAAGTAATAAAATCTACTTTGCAAGCCAAAAAATAGTATATTCATAAATGTAGCATCAAAAGTGTTAAATGTGACAGCTTTTAAAAGCAAGCTGTGCTTCACATTTAATTTCAAATAAAATGAAAATAAAGCACAAAAACATTAGCCAGTTTTCATGCACTTCTTTAATATAGCAGTTTTTCATATTCACAACAAATACATTAAGCTCTTTTTCCTTTTATATAATACAGTCTTAAATATTTTTACACAGAAATATTTTCTCAGAATTTCATCTATCAAAATGTCTTTTCTTAACCTTTATTTCTTAAGTTGAAACATTTGAAGTCATTTCATTGTTTTTATCTCCATGCCTCCTAGCAAATGGACAGTACTTTTTTTGTACATTTATTTACAGATGAAAAGAGTCTCCCAAACATTTGTATGATAGTTCTCACTTGAATGAACTTGCACTGGGGGGGGGGGGGGCGTTAAAGTGCAGGCGAGGCAACAGAAAGGAATGTGATACGGACGTTTTTGGTGAAGGCTTAAAAAGCAAATAAAATGGGGGTTTGGGGAGTGAAAGAAAAATGGTTTTAGAGAATATATATATATGTATCTCCGAGTTGTAATTAAGCAGGTCCCCAAGTATTCCAGTCAAGAAGGATCAATCCTTCACAAGTCAGACCTCAGTAACATTCCCATAGAAAATAAATAGAGCATTCTTAAAATACACCTCTACCATCTCCATAAGCAACCCATGTTAGGTTTGTCAGCTTACTCTGAGAACAAGTCCATTCAAACAGCTCGTCAAAAACTATACATGTGAAAACAGTGACCACTGTCACGACCGAAAGGATCCGTGGAGCTCCTTTCTCCTTAATGGCAAGTTTAAGTGGCGGAACCAATTCACAGAGCATCGTTCTTATAAAAATAATCAAAAGGAGAACCAAAATAAATACTTCGATCCATCTCAACAGAAGCAAGAAGATGGGGCGCTTGTCCTCGCTTTTGTAACAGAGCATGAGTGGCGAACCAAGCGCAGAGCCTCGGTTATCTGTGCAACATCAAGCATTTTATGGAGCCGAAAGCAAAAATGTGTCATTCCCTATGAGGAAAAAAAGGAGGCGGGGCCACTTCTTTCACTTAGAAGAGGCCGAAATAACGAAAAGCATCCCTACGAGGCCACTTCCACCATCCACAGTGTCTAGGTGAACTTCAGGGCTACACAGTGCTGGTATCACTACAGCCCAAAGCTATGCTAGAAGGTTGACGCAGAAGTCTCTGGACCAACTTGAAACGAAGAGTCGCCGCTTTGTCGCACTTTGCGAACAGGAAGCCTTTTGAGTCATAGGGCGAATCGATCTGGTCGAAGATCCAGATAACCATTCTCCGGCAATGATGAAGGTGGACACAGATGGCGTTAGGAGGTTGGATTAAGCTTTGGTTTTTAGTGTCCCATGGCCCTGCCTGCTTTTGAAATTGATTTTAATTCATTTTGCAATCCGGTAACCATGCTTTAACCTCTTCATATGACAAAATATATTAAGTCTTTAAAAAGGCAAAATTGCTTATCTGCATCAGTCATTTATACAAAGTGCACAGACACACTGCGTAATGTCCATTTCAGCAAATCACAGAATGAGTGAGAGAAAATATATATGTATATATATATATATATATATATATATACACACACCTCTCCGAGAGTTTGAAACAACACCGAAAAAAAAGTAATAAAATTAAAGCAATATAAATTAATGTAACTTTGCAGGCCTGCCTGTCTATAACACAAGAAAAACTATATGAAACTTAAACGTAAAAAAAAAATAAAATGACCCGTGAACAAACATATTGGAATGAATCCAGCGGTGCAAGGTCCAAAGAGTTATCACATGATGGATCAAATAAAAAATAAAAAAAATCTGTTAACTGTTATGGCCTCAAAGGAATGGCTTCTAATAACAACAGTTAAGCGTAAAGTTGTAGTGAAAAGTACAGAAATACATCTGAAATACGCCCACATTGTAACTCCATAGCAAGGCTTCGTGTTTGCTTTATACAGTGGGTTTTTCTACAAGAAACTTTAAATAATATGACCTTTGAAACATGACGTCAGCTATTATAAGGAGGCGAAACAAAATAAAACAATCACATTCTCTAGAAGCGCAGAAACCGCTTTGATTTTGCCCACCTCGGAAATGTCTGATGGCATTTGTGCCGAACCAAGACAGGCTAAAAACATTTACCCAGGCTTCTTTGCGTAGGACATTAGTGGGGATGTGAAATGCAAAATAAAAAAAATACTAGAGTTTGCCTTGACGAAGAATTAAAAGTAAAGAACTTACAGAATATATATATATATATATATATATATATATATATATATATATTTATATATATATGGTTTTTTCATTTACCCC